CTCTACAAGAAAGGTCCTATGCAATTTTTCCATATGTCCAACGGTTTGGGAGTTATTGGCCAAAAACGAAAATTTCGCGAAATCTGAAGGGGTACCCCTTGGAAAAATCTCGGAAAAATGAAAATTTTTTTGTTGTTGTTTATTATTAGCAATATTCTTCCGACGTCTGATTTCTTTTTAAAAAATGCGTTTCTAAAGTGCATAAACTTTTAGGATTGACTTTATAGCCAATATATCCTTAAACTTGTATTTTCTATCGTTCGATTTTCGTTGATATTTTTGTATACCCTAATTCGTCGTGAATATCGAAATCGACGATCGCCTTCCCGTCGATGGGAATCACTTTTCGCACGGGCTGCTGGTATATCGGTTGTATAACATCAGAGAAAATGTCTGGGTAAGCCGTGACCGTCGCCTCTCCTTTCACCGGCTTACCATAAGTATACCTAAAATCATTTGCATTTTGAAATGAATAATGTTTTTTCTTTAACGAGATTACATAATCGTACGTTTACTTTTGACTAGCGCTATTCACTCACTTGGCATTAATAGTCGCGGTTACTTTAGAGTCCTTAAAAGTGAAATGCTTCGGAGCATCGATGGTCACTTCGAAGTTAGGCAAAATGTACTCAGCCACTTCGAATTCTTTCTCGAATATCTGATCTCCGACGTTAGCCGTGATCTTCCACATACCTAGAACTGGAAACTCGGACAGTTCTATTTCACCGTTAAAGATTCCATGAGTCACGGGCGGTCGGATCCATTGTTTAATTCTGTTCTCGTTCCCATCCTGAAGTTAAAGTATTACACGTTCCACCGATCTGTTTCATTCATTAACATGCACTCACCGTAATGTGAATATACACTAATCTTTCAAGAGTAGGTCTCAGTCTGGAATTCAATAAGATGCATCTGAACATCACCTTGTTCCCCGGCTTATAAATAGCTCGGTCAGTTTGTATGAAAACTGAATAACTTTTCAGGACATAGTTTACTGGCTTTGAGTCTGAAAATTGTATACCTGACAAACCACGCGCAGTCAAGTGGTATGTCCCAGGTAAAATATCTCCGACCTGGAGTTCATAAAATATGAATGAGTTTTGATTACCAAAAATTTGAGACTTATACGTACCTCGAATTTTAAAATTCTCGTTGAGTATGGTTGAACCAACGCTATTTGAGACAAATTGAACTTCTCCCCATTATCGAATGTAGCATTCAGTTCAACATAAATATTCGACGGTGTGGACACACCGTTTGTACTCACGGTTACGTGGTACTCTGAATCTGGTCTCACTATTTTTGGAGCTACTATGCTATAATACCTTTAACAAGATTTACGTGACAATTAATTTTCCAGGACGTTCAAAGGAATTGTTTCAAGTCAAATATACTTACGACTCTGCGGTTGCGTTTAGGATTATGCAGGACAGGAAAAAGAAACAAAACTGTTGCCAGTCCATTTTCGGAGTATCTGTAAAATTAATTTCCTTAAAAATGTTGCAATGTTTTAGTATATAAATTCTTATAAATGATCGACGATTTTAACAACCGGTTTAACATTTTATTTATTGCCAGTAATATATACGTGATTATAAAAAAATGCATTGTCTTCTCTGTGCAGAAAATTTTATCTCCATTATGAAATCATACATTATATAATTAGAAGTGTTTATTATGAACACCGATAACAACTGCGTTCCATCATTTTCTTATTTTCAACGGTTGTCAAAATCGTCAAACTGGTTTTTCCGATGACTCGATTACGTAGCGAGAGAACGTGTTCGTTTATTTCTATTTGCACAATTACACGAACAATACAAGGGGAAACCCAGACATTAAAGTACTCCCGTTGCCCCGAGTCTCGAGATGAGTATACTCGTTAAAATAGAATTTATACACGAGATAACGTAGTTAAACAGCGATTTTCAAGTCGCCGAGATTTCTTCATTTAAAATCAATCGACAGTAGTTCACTACGTAAAAAGATGTTAAGAACCGAAACGAAGAAATTATACTTCATTCGTTCTCCGTTTGCGACATAAAAAATGAGCCGGTATATGAAAAGAACAATTCTTAAAATGGTTTTTTACAATATTTTATTCAATAGTTCGATCGATTCTTCGATTATGTTCAGCTGCTGAGCGATGTTATTGCGAAACGGCCGAAGTAGGTGTACTTTCACGGGAAATGCATCTGTCAAACTCTCTGGTTATTCTTCCGACTCGCCAATGGAATCTGCACGTTAATTAGAAAGTGGTACGACAAAAGTTTACGTTCTTCAAGCTCCCGGAAGCAAACTCGAAACCCGATTTACTGAAGAGATTCCTGTGAACTTTCAGACTCTTCCAGAACGCATTGCCCACTCTTATTTAAAATAGACATTGCTACGATCATCCGAACTGGATTCGTCGCCCGACAAGGAAACAGCGTGTGTCAGTTTCCCGATATGTAAATGAAAAAAATAATTCGAGATCGCGTCATCTCGGTAAATAAATTCTGACTCACCCTGCCGAAGGATCCGGTCGAATAATGTTTTCGATGATGTCGCGGAGTCAGCACGGTATTATCGGTGTTCTTAATTGAAAAATAAAAGAGAAAACTAAAAAGGACGGCGCGGAGAGAATGCAAACTGGCGATGGTCTCGACGCAACAATTAGGTGAATACTAACAAGCACCAACTACCAATCATAGCCGTAGCCCCAAGAAAGCGACCGGGCTAGCAGCGCAGGTTTCCCTTCCTTCTGGCCGCTTCGCTTGTGTAGCCGTGCCTGCTCGGGTGCCTCGCGCTGTATATACTCGTCACGTTTTTACCGTTATAAAAGCGGCGAGCATATACCCTACCCTACCAAACGCTGCACGGACGGAGATCTGGTCTCTCGTCTCTCGCTCCTCTGCATAAATTTCAACGTCTCGTCCTGATCGGACTATGACCACGGCATACCTCGATGCGATCCTCACAGCTAAAACTGTGTCCTACGTGATTCCCACATCGGTGACACGATCTTTAAAAATTGATCGAATTCAAGCGTTTCTTATCCATCGATAGTCTTATTAAACGAGACGGGGAAAACTGGGTCAAATCGCACTTTATTTATTCTGTTCTACGTGTACCAACCGGTAATTTCAATGCCAGCATGAGCGTTTTTTAAATGTTATATATGTCTGCTGCAATGCAACGGTGAACAGTAATGAATGAATGAATTCGTAGACTGAGGAGGAATGTCACGCTTCTTCGGAAGAAATAGAATAATATAAAACAGCATTTCTTCCTTTATTTATATTAATCTAGAAAATACATATGCATAATTAAATTCTATATCCTTCTTGCAAAAATTAATGTACAGTTTATTCGTTTTCAATGGTATCGTTGAAACAAGACTTGTTCGCTCTCTGCTTCATTTCTTTGTGTGACCTTCTCAATGATTGTGGATCGGCCAAGAATCGTTGCCATAGAATACTCTTCTCTCGTTCGAAGCTTCCTATTAATTTCTGTAATCAAATTCGACTTATCGTAGAGAGATTAGTTATATAATATATTTACATAATTTGTTATCACTTACCAATCGTTCCTTCATTTGATTTCTTATTTTCGTTACGTCAGCTTGCAATTTTTGTAAACTGTCCACTGCCTCGGCGTGATTAGTTTCGATCTCAAACGAAATTGGTTTGTACGTGTGCGTAGGAGTCTGTTGAATCTCATTTAAATATCGTGACTTCACCTCTTCCTCCCTAAAATAGAACATTTTTATACTCAATCAAATGCTTATTCCAATGTTTGAAATTCTTGTATAAAATAAAAAACCGATACGTACAATGTTTCTAGTTTGTGAATTTTTGATTTTAAATAACTTTCCAGTATAGTTTGCTTCTTCGTTTTATTTTCATCTATGATATTATTGTACTTATCTAATATGGAGTTCAACTGATGCTTATCATCTTCGTCGGATATCATGGAAATAAAATGTTTGTGAAACGAATTGTGTGGCGTCGGTGAGGACAGCATGGCAGTGTATTCGTTTTGTTGCTGCTGCATTCTTTCCTATAAACAAATATAATTTTGATTCGTCGATTCTCAACTGATTCCGCATTGCAACGTTAAATTACTGACGCATCTCGCAGCGGACAGTGAGTATTCAGATGTTAAATAATGGAACGCGTCGGACACGAATTCGTAGACGTCCGTGAGACGATGGAATTCCATCTCCATGAGTATACACAATAAACAAACGCGAGCGTAACCATGTTCCCGGACAAGCAGTCTTAAATTCTCAAGTTTTTCTAAATGATTCTTCGCCCTTTTAGATCTTGAAATGGCATCTTCCCTCAAGACCTTGTTTATCTGAAACTCTGCGAACCGTTGCACGATCTCCGTCAGCTGACGATCGTGTAAAAGAGAGACGTTCTCCTCGAGGAAGTCCCTCCTGTTGATCAACTCAGAGATTTCTGTTCTAATTTTAAATACTGATTGTTAAAATTCTGTGTTCGCAAGGTGCAACAAGTCGCAAATTTTCAAGAGATCTGCAGATACCTCATGTCCGAGTGCCTCGGCACTTTTAAATTCCCTGAATTATATATATCTTGAACATAATCGAACATCGCGGCGTATGATTCCTCCTGCACTTTGGCCGAGATTTCTTTGAAGTTCGCATTAGTCAGGCTGTAAAATAAAACACGAATTGTTACTTCGCGTCAATAAATATATGGTTTAGAAACGAGTCAAGTACTTTGCTTTGCACATCGCGAGTTCTTGTAGCTTCTCATTGTCTATGCGTTTCTCCTGACTGTCGTCGATCAAGGATACGTAATTAGAATCAGTCTTCTCCTCTTCCTTCTGCGAATTCTTGAACTGCCGTTTTATATGTACGTGTAAATAATGATTATACAGTTCGACCTTTTTAGTAAAAAGTTCCAGTGGCATCTGTGTCCACACTAATGGTATTCCTTTCTGTAAATAAAGTAAATTATTGTCATCTGCGCGTACAATACATAAAAATTGATCTGAAATCTAATATTACTAACATTTTCTGCTGCTTCTGCGTAAGTATCTAAAAGGCAGGCTACTTCTTTAAAAAATTCATGATTATTCGTGTCGAACTTCTCCACGATTGCAGAACAGTCTTGGTACGCTTTCTCCACTTCAATGTTTTCTTTAACCAGACATTCCTCTTCCGTTTCTATATCCTCTTCCAATTTAGCTTCCAATTTTCTGTAACATAGTTCATATATAATACAACGATTTATGTTAATATAATGTCAGTATAGAAGAACGTGATGTATACTTCAAATTGCGAATTCCATTTTGTAGCGTTTCAATGTAACTCTCATCTTCCTTGTTCGAATCTCTCAGTATTTCATGCTCTGCGAACAAATTGTCGATGTCTTTGTCATCGTAAGTGGTAAGTTCTAATAAATCTGGACAATCTGCAGTGGCTTCCTGCAATGCGAGATCTAATTCTGGACCCTCTAACCATTCGCCCGTCTCTTGTAATTTGTTTTTTCTAAAACAATCGTTCATGAAACCTAGCTATTGTCGTTATTTTGTATCGCTGATGTACTATTAAATAAATGTTTAGTACAATTGAACCTCCTCGTCGGACAGAACGTTGACATAACTCACGTTCTCGCAGAACCATTTTAAAAACGGTTGCACCGCAGGTTTCTGGCAGATTTTATCCAACAGTTCTGGCGTGACAACGTTCGAAAGTTCGGAACGTAAGTTTCGTACTTTGTTATATAGAATTTTACCAGATATACTCATTTTTTAAACACGAATAGCAACAAGTGGAAATCCAAATTCGAGTCGATCTGTAGCATTTAACATATTTAAAGTATTTAAATCTTTGTATCACTTTGTATACATTAACGTTGTTTTAACCAGGGTAGCGACACTAATTATATTATTCTGTTAGCAGAGCTTTCAGCATCATTCAGCAGCATGTGTTAAAAGTAAGGAAAAAATGACAGGGACAACGACAAACATCTCTCATGCCGAAGTTACGATTTAGCAATTGTGTGCAAGCGATACATGTAATGTCATATTTACTTAAAATGATTAAATAAATGGTTATATTTAAATCTTTCACAATCTCACGTACATTTTTCTTCATTACATACCTTTTTTTATCTATTTAAAAATAATAAAAGTTCTTCGTTCATTGTATCAATTATTAGGTTAATTAACATTTTAAAACGTAGGATAAAATGATTTTGGGGTTGCTCGTGGCGCCATCTAGCGTTCATGGCCGCGAAAGTGCTTGGCACCGATGAATTTGGAGTTCATCGTGGCGCCATCTAGCGTTCAGGGATGCGAACCCGTTTTTCTCTCTGGTGCAGCAATATTGGAGCCAAGCACTTTCGCTTTTGACAATAAATTTCGTTTTTCGTCAATAACTCCCGAACGGATGGACGTAGGGGGGCGTTTGTGGGCTCATTTTGTAGGGGACGATGAGATCTACAATTTCTGTGCAAAAAGAATTCGCTAGTGCCAATAGTTAACGAGTTATTTGCAAAAAACGAAAACCAGTTTTTTGCAAATTACTCGTAAACTACTGATGCTAGCGAGAATATATAGAGATTGTAGATCACGTCGTCCTCTACAAAATGGACCCATAAACGTCTCCCTAAGTCCATCCGTTTGGAAGTTATTGGCAAAAAACAGAAAAACAGTTTTTTGCAAATTTTGCAACAGACACGTTTTCAGAGAGACGTTCCTATCGAGGCTTTATCGCTCAGCCGCGTTTTCGGTACTCCGAGTATCCGTCTACATCGTCGAGTACAAACGCGCATCCGTTCTTGCGGATTATCGTTAACAAAAGTACAAATTAAAGACTCTCTCTGCGTAAGTTATTTTAATAGCCATCGCGATTTTATCGCTAATCTTAAGTGGCGAGTTTATTGTCAGCGCGAACACGCGGTTCGCCATTACGCGCATGCACCTGCTGCGCGCCTTATATATTTCGGAATAAATGTTCCTTGAAACATACGCTAGTTTACCCAGTTAATTCCTATCTAATAATTATGGCCCCCTACGCCATACCAAATTC